ACGGTGGTGATCACACCATATTGTAGAATATGTGAATGGCTCGGCTGACCGGTGGGGGTTGTAGCCGCCTTCCTTTGAGAGAATCTTATAAATTGATGGATTTTCCCCATGAGGATTGGGAGAGGAGTATTCTGGCGAGTATCTAAAAGTAGCTTTCGGGATATTATAAAGAGAACGAGGGAAGAATATTCCCGTTGGTGTGTCTAAAAAGAGGGCGGATGTACAATTGGGAGAGCAAAGAGGATGAGAACAATAAGGGCATCTAGGCCCCGCCGAGGAACCAGTCCAAGAAAAGATAGAATCTCGAGTACCTTTCTCGACCTCTTCTAAAAGAGCAGCAGGAGGAAGGAAACGGAGATGAATACGAGAGAAACATTTTTCTTCAGCTTTCGTGTCTAATTCGAATGCATGAACCCTCGGTCTCGGACAAATATGTCGAAGAGTTTTTGTCGTAAGAGATAAGGATATTAAATCGGCAAAGCAAAGATACTTGGTGACTAAGTAGAATATATCGATTGGAAGGTCTAAGAGTGGTGAATTGGGAATTTCAGTCATTGAAAGGTTCTGAGAACCAATACAACTCGAAGAATAATCATCCAAGGACTTCGGCTCGTGCCAGCATGATTGCTTTGGGATCTTGAACTGCGGCTTCGAGAACTTCTCTTTGATCTTTTGTAACATCTCCGCAAAACCGATACTGACTTCTAGGTTATGTTTGGGTCGACTCCGAAACCAATACTCCGAAATTTGATATGCGTTGACTGTGCGGTATTTTAACCCACTGGATGCGAAAGGCTACTGACACCTGACGCTCTGACTCTGCAACTCTGCAGCTTTGCGCATGCGGCTAATTAAGGATTTGGGCTTGGTCGATTAAAAGCATATGCTCAAAATCCAAGGAATTTGAAAAAAATTTGAAAAAAACCCGAGGTCTCTTAGAGCGTTGACAGTCAGAGAGAGAGTATGGTCGTGAAAGTTGGCCTAAACGGCCGTTAACGGGTCAGAGTAGCCCCTGACAATGAACTGCAGTTTTGTCCTTCGACTAGGCTTCATCTGAAATCCATGAACGGATTTGACGCCAAAATTGCAAAATGGCATATCCGATCCCTTCAAAAATATAATAAAGACTATGATGTTGAGCTTCAGGAGAGCAGCGACATCAAAATATCTACAATCGGTTATTTAAGTTTATATCTTAAAAAAATAGCCCTCCCTTTGTTATCCCGGATCTCGCAGCGCTGGTCTCGCAGGCCAGTGGATCTCGCCATTATACACAGAGGTAGAAAGCTATATATAGTGAACGAGAAATATTAAACAACATGCTCGGGATAGTTAAATAACTACTGTTCAAACGTTAAATCAAAATCTCTGCAGCGTCTTGTGGCGAAGTATGCGCATCAGAGTAGCAATCGTGGAATTCTTCATCGTCCGAGCTATCTTCGGGGTCAGAAGTTCGCTCTATATCTTCTTGTTCCTCTGATGTGCCGCTCGATATCTCATCCAACAATGATATCCTGGTTTGCTCGCGGATCCGATTCAATAGTTTGATAAAAGAATCCCACCATTCTTCTCTTCTTGATTCCGGGATACGTTTCATATCTTTCTCGTCCTCGAATCGATAAATTGCTAGTTCCTCGGGTGTACATCCTAGAATACCCTCCTTGCAATCCGCGATCTTGAGGCCTGTATCCGCTCCCATGCCAGAGAAATCAACAGTCTTGAATAATTCGAGTATCTCATAACTCCCGTACCATGCCAAATAATGGAGGAAGTTCCAGCCGTGAGAATTTTTGAGTGGGAACTTGATATTCCCTGGCTCGTTCAAAATGATAGATAGCGATGCATCCGCACGTTCTCTAATGGCTTCCATGATCGCCGTAATACCCTTTCTGCAGGACTTATTAACGTCGGCTCCACAATCTAAAAGAAGTTTTGTTGTTCGAGGGTAGTTCCGCGCCGCGCATTCTCGCAGTGGAGTGTTCCCGGAAACTGATCCCAGGTTGACATCTGCACCGGCATCTATCAATCGCGAGGTAAACTGAAAATTCTTTGCGTCGGTATCCTCGTCAGATTCCGGAAGGATGGTTAGCTGCTGGTTAATAGATAGGAGGGCTGTTATCCCACTGGCTGGGGAGAAAGAGTTGATAAGCGACGCTGGGAAATATTTTAGACAGAGGTCAAGACCTTCGACCGATCTTGCACAATTCAGGATATTAGCTCCATGTCTGCAACGTTTTATTACGTCTGCACCATTTTGGAGCAATATTTCGGCTGCATCGAGATCATCCCTCATAAACGCCCACATAAGAGGAGTTCTGCCCCTTCTGTCACCCTTGTTAATCAGGCTCAACCCTAAATATGCCTCCAGCTCCTCGGCAAGATCGCCAGTTTCAATTCCAAGAACAATCTTGTGCAGCCGAGTCATCCCAAGGACGTCAAAATCGATTTTGCTTTCTGGGAGACATCTCTTAGCACTCTCAAAGCCCTGGACCTCGATTTGACCGATTAAACGTGGGTGAAATTCATATTCGTAGAGACATATAGATGCATATGGGGAACTTCGAATAAGTACCTAAGTTAGCTTGCGCCATCGATATTATAATGAATGCATTGCAGATGGTTCAGAAATTAGGTTGATCATGTTTAACGGGCCTGTATGCTCATCTATAGGATGGCGAACCGGTACCCATAGAGAATTTGCCGAAGGATATAAAGCTCGGTGAACTCACCTGGTATAATAAGCTTCCAGATCTGGATCAGCTCCTTGCGAAAGAAGAAACCTGACCATTTGTAAAGATTTATCCGAGATTGATCTAATACCTGCGAACACAGTTACAAAAAGAACGGCGTACTTACGGAAGCTTCAGTAGTTAGTTTAAGATATCATAACTTTGAATCTAACAAGTCTCGTTTGTTTTCAGATGGGGGTAAGATTACATGGAGCAAACCGCACCCCCCGTCACTATCGATATCTCTCACCGAAGCTTTCCCTTCCTGAAAAAGCCTTTGCAACCCCTCAATATCCACGTCAACGACCATCTGAAAGGGGTTTTCGTCCCGTTTTGTATTCGCGTGGTGCCGGACGTTCCAGGTTTTTATCAGAACCTCGGGGCACTGAGATGCTCGAACCTCCATAGAGAGCATTTTCGTCAGGAGCCATTTCGGGAAAGCATACTGCAATCTCATATTTCCACCCTTAGCACGGTTGCAATTACGAATGGTGCAAGAGGGCGAGATAGATGGGATCCCGTTGTATCCGACAAAAATATTTCCGATCAATTTGGAAAGAATGGAAGGGGTTTGTATGTTCCTTCGACGGTGACATACACATTTGCACAATGGATTGCAGGGGCTCCCCGAAGAAATCTTAAGTGGGATGGCCACGCTGTTTTGTTGATAGTGTGTGATAGAGTTATTGTATTGGTAAGTTCTTTGGGGAGAAGTAGCATGCGGTGTATCCCCAATCATGGGAGCGTTTTTTGTCGGAATCAGTTGAAGCTGACCTATACTGTTGACCGAAAGTGCAGTGCTCTGGGTCGTAGCTTGGAGATCGCCGATTCTCTTGTGGAGGGAATATTGCGAGGACATAATTTGCGACTGTCCATTCCTGTTCTGGTAGGCAAGATATTGAATACTCTGTTGTAAAGAGAGATTTAGCTCTTCAATACGAGCTTCGATACGGAAGGAAGATGCTCTAGGTATTTAAACCGTTAGTTTTTGCCTGTAGACAACTATATACTTGCCAATAAGTATACTGGGAGCCGGAAGTCGAAAGGAACTAGACAAAATTTAAATAAAGTCCCGTCGACATTTTGCTTACGAATTCATCAACCCTATTCCATTCGCAATCTCCATCCTGATATCCCTCAGTCCGTCCTTAGCCTTCACTAGCTTCGACTGCTCTCTTAAATAGCTGATCTTATTAAAATTCCCTTTACCGTCTACCAATTTCGTCTCAACTACTAGGCATATATCCTTTAACTCGACTGTAGCCCGGTCCAGGAGTTCCTTGACACAAACTAGTTCAGGCGGCAAACCCCAGACGCTCCCTTGTTGACCGCCCAGACTAACATGCTTGTCCAGTATACTCTCACAAGAGTGTACAACCAATCGAAGGTCGCTAACTTCGTTCTGAAGGGCCATAACAATCTCCGGTGCACCCTTAAGTGCGACTAGCTTGGCTAAGCCATTACTGACTTGTACTGCTGCGGTCACTATCGCGATAATAGACGCCGTAACGGATAGCGGGTCCATAATTGAATAATTTTCATGCCAGTTTCCAACTCGATAATGAAATTTCGTATTTATGCGCACTCTACTAGGAATTCGTAAATTTGGTAAAGAGAACTAACGTGGCAGATGCTTGACAGACGGCGGTCTTTGCACTTAAGTATTTGAGAAATATAAAAAGAGGCTACGGCTGACGAAAAGTCGCTCCCTCAAAGTATCTGTTCCGATATACTTAGCACACCATGTACATGTACAATTGGGCAACGTGAACCACAAGGCTGATTAAATACATTGCACCATCGATGCATCAATCCTTAACGCATTAATCATGCAGGCCAAGTCATGATAGCCAGCTGGCCATCGGGCCGCAGATATACACTTAGCCCCACTGCGCTTGTATGTATGAAGATTAAATATATGCTGCTATCCCTTCGTATCGAAACGAATATTCGGATATTCTCGATTGAGACCTCAACACATTAGCTTGTTGCGTTTAATTTAGCCTCGACTCGACTTGATAGAAACAATCAAATCCGAACCAAATGGCTACCTCGAACAGCAAAAATGAAACTTGTATAAAGATACGCAAGGTGTTAGAGATAAATATCGTCTTATCGTTAGATTAAACAATTTTTGATAAAATTCGGCGACAGCAAGTTCAAGATCATTACATTCCCACGAATTCCAAACCCCTCGTTTGTTTGACAATAAGGATCCGCTTCAAGGAAGCCCGAAAAAAGAATGCAGCGTCTACGGGATCCAAAAAAAAGAGGTCGAACTGGGATTCGAACCCGGGTCCCCGGAAACTTTCGATGAACTCAGAGAGTTCTGATCAAAATCCGATGTGATAACCAACTACACTATTCAACCGTAGTTCACGGAGATCCGCTTCTTTTTTTTAACATATCACTGTTGATGCTAATCGAACCTGATCGAAGATTTGTCAGTTTTATACAAGAAACCAGACCTGATCTACCTCGTCCTGAATATAATCTTTGAATTCAATGTCTCCTTTCAGGGGGATATCAAGTCGAGTGTTTCCTCCGCGCTCGAGATGAAATACTCGCCCCGAAACAACCCATATCATAGTTTGTTGCATTTTGCAACCTATCGAAATATTCACAACATACAAATTAAAACCTCACTGACGACATGCAACATTAACATCCAACCCCCACCACAAAGCCCATCAAAAAGAAAAAAGTGCGAACCACCAAAAACCCAGGTTCCACGGTCTCTCAAACCTCACAGTACGCTGAAAAACGCGTACCGGTGACGAGTGGGCCATACGCAGCCCCACCATATGCTAGCAGTACGATGCATCACCGGCAGGCCAAGACCCTCCCAATGCATCCGCAATGCATTAATATGCCGGCCCCGTTTCCTATCCCAGGTCAACCAACCAACTCCATTAGGAGCAAACTATGATCTATCAGTTCTGAATAGATACCTACTACGTTCTAGAAAGGTTTACCCGGACATACGACCAAAACTGGTTGAAATCACAGCAAGTTCACCGTTGTTTTCTCCAGGGAGGGCGTTACCGGTGTCATACCTTCCGGGCAGACTGAAACCTTCGCAATTCGCTTCGATATTGCAACAAGATTATGATGCTAAATATTGGGATATGAACGGCGCGCACGTGTGGTCGGCTGAGAAGGAGAGAATAGTTAGTAGACAAGCAGAGTATAAAGCTCATGGCGATATGTTTCTGCAAAATGTTACGGTATTGCTACTTCAGCGCTCTCTATCTGATAGCTTACCTCCAGGGTGCTCCGTGGTATGTTATAAATTTATCCTCTTTCATAACATACATCTCTTACAAACAACTTCTAATCACCCAAAAATATGTATTAAAAAAAAACATAGTAGAACTTCTACAAATTCATCGAAAGCCACCCCCTCTTCCGTCTCATCCTAGCGTTCAGACTGCAACTCTACTGCCGTCGAAAACTCCGTCTGTTCCCACCAGGACCACGCACTTATCGAAAATACATGATGACCCTGCAACACTGGGCCAACAGTCGTATCTCCATAACTTCAGATGACGAATTCAACAAAGCAACCCAAAATCTAGAGAATCTAGAAAAACACCTCAAAGAGATGGCAGAAGATGATCCGGACCTCGATGCCGCTGTTAGAAGGGTCTCGCCCGTTCTAGGCGCCCGGGTGATTAGTAAATATATCCCAACTGATGACTTAGGTCCCGACCTTTCAGCATCTACGGTTATATCTCAAGATATCGAGTGGCTGACCGACATTTGTGGGGATATAATGTTTTTGATATTACACCGGGGTATCAAACAAGCGGAAATGGACTTCAAGGCTAACGGCGGGGCGATGAATACCTCTGGGACTAAAAATCTAGCAGAAGAAGAGAACACAATCGATATAAACGAATCAAACTTAAATCAACCACCCTATTTAAGCTCCAACTTCTTGAATCTCATAATAACCGACGAAGAAATAGAAAAACGTTTTCCCGATCTTGAAGAAGAAGCAGTTTTGTCCGCTCAAGCACCAGGCCAACCTATAAAGAATGCTCACGAATTTATATTAAGAAGAATAAAAGAAGACCTCAAGGTCCCCCCTTATCTAAGAAGAATCTTCCGAGGCATCCGCAACAGAATGGCAAGATCAGGATCTCCAAACCGACCCCGCCGTTCTGACATCATAGCCGCAGACGAAAGTTGGAAATCAATCACCGACTTTGACACACTCCCAGAATCATCTCTCGGACATCCCCGCAGTAACACCCCCTCCCCATTAACTCCAAGAGCTCGCACGCTTTCTAGACTAAGCCAACTACTAACAGCCGTCCGCAAACGCATCCTAGGAGTACCATTAATAACAGAACCCGCACGCATCTTCAGGAACCTCACCACTTCTGCCCCCGAAACTGACGAAACCCCAAAGGTGTCTAAACGTCTACGCGGACTATTCGACCTCCTCAAACCCCGCGACGAACTCACCACACCACCTTCAAGACAAAAAGAAGAAGAAGAAGAGGAGGAGGAGGAGGAGGAAGAACAAGAACAACAAAAAGAAGAACAGGAACAAGGGCCAAAACCAGAACAATCACCACTAGAACCCCTACCTCAAACCCCACCTCAATCACCAATCTTCTACGGCCCATCCCTCTGGAAAGCCCCCTCAAAAAAACCCTCGACAGCCCCAACCCCTCAAGAACCCACCACCCCACCTCCAAAAGACCCCCCAACCCCCCTCCCAATCCGCCGTATCGAATCAGTCACAACCCCTCCCCCAACCCCTCCTCCAACTCCGCAATCCAACTTCCAACCCTTCACCCTCTCCACCGTCCAAAACCTCGATTCAATCCTCCACAACCTCGCGGCCGCAAAATCAACGGGCACAAAACCCACAAAACAAACTTTACAATTTATCCAACCTCCCTCCCCCTCACCATCATCAACTGCCAAAAAAGAAAAAGAAAAAGAAAAAGAAAAAGAAGAAACACCCCCCAAAAATCAAAACAAAAAACCCCAAAAACTCCGCCTCCTCCAACAAAAATCCACCGATATCTTCCAACTAAGAGCAGAACTCAACGACGCCCTCCCCGAATCACCAAAAACTCCAATCGACAATTTAAGAAACAGAATGCAGGACTTATTCTCTTCTATTAAAACAACCAAAAAACCTTCCTGAACAACAATCTACAACTCAGGTATATAATACCAATGTACAACAAATCAAAATCATATCATGAATATATCATCAGAAGCATTGTACATAAATACCCACCATCACAATACCACATGTACTTATAATTTCTATAGCGAGCATCCTATTCAGAACAGAGTATCCATGGACTCCCAATTGAATCCATGATCTTATTAATCCATTAACCATTAATCCCAATACCGTTTCTAACCCTAATTAGTTTAGGTAACAAAACAAAGTCCCATGATATCCAATCCAGAACTCCACTACTCCAAAGCCAGTATAGCCATACCATGACATCCAATAATCCCGATCCCCAATACCATATACCCAATCAATACCCAAAGGAATAGCCACGATAGTCTCAAACATGTATAAAAACTATCTTAACTCCCCCAAAAGAAGAAGAACTATCTACTCCTCAAAAACCCTCCTAAACATCTCCTTCTCCCAAACCCCATCCCAACACTCCCACCCTTCAAACCCCAAAACCTCAACCTCCTTGATCCTCATCCTCTCCCTCTTATCCTCACTAACCCTATCCTTCCCGCCCCATAGTCCCAAAAACCCTTTCCTACCTCCACTCCTCCCATAATTCCAACTCCCATACCACTTCCCACTCCTATCCTTCAACCCTTTCAAAGGTTTTCCCCCAATAATATCCCCCCAAATAGTCTCCATCAAAATCTCCCTATCCCTTTCCACTTTCCTCAACAAAACTTGTTTCCATATCGGACTAATCATCCTCCCAACTTCATCGATATCAAAAGTTATCAACATTCCGATCCCCGGATCTTGGAATTCTCGGTACGCCGCCTCCCAGGGTAGTTGTATATGCCCCTTTTGCCAATCCTTGGGTACTCCGAAATTTATCCAGTTGGGATTTTTTCGTGCTGTTAATGCCGTATCTAAAAACTTCAAAGTCTTGGGTTCCGTGTCGTATTTGACATCAAATACTCTGAAACCGTAGTATGACCATACTCCATCCGACTTTCCAAACCCCATTAGCACGACATCCCATTATCTCATAAAAGTAGAGGAAGAAGAAGAGAAAGAGAAATATAAAAAAACTCACCACCTGTTTATTAAATTTCGTCCTCCTAATCTCCTCCGAAGACCTCCCAGCATACCTCTCCATCCCAGGCTCAACATCAAGATCCCCAATCCTAAGCTCATCAGTAAACTCCCCGCTAAACCCCCTAAAAACACTATCAACCTCAAGCCGATCAGGAATCCCATCAATCACCTCCGAAACCCCCAACCACGCCCCTTGTCGTGTAGTATACGCCATTTCAATCCCCGCTTCCAAACATGCATACATATACCTAACCTCCCCGCTCAAACTTCCATGCCCCACCATCCTCGCAGCTTCATCAACTTTTGCCTTGACAATCCTTTGCTTCTCATCCTCCCATGCATCTCCAACTCTGAAAAACTCCATCAAATCCCTTCTGGCAACCCTCGTACCCATGGTTTTGTCAAGCTTTCTCACAGAGGCCAAGAATTTGTGATACTCCACGCCATCTGATGCTTCAAAGATCCGATAGATCGCAAATTGTGCTCTCCCAAGTTGTATCATCACAATCCTTGGATCCGATCCCGTAGACTTTATCTCCACCTTAGGAACCCCCTTAGGTCGTTCCGGATCAACGTCTTCGACATTAAAACTCGATTCTCCAGTTTCCTTGTATATAAAGTCGTCTCCAGGTTGTATATTTACGACATCAATATCGTCGAAAACAAGACTCAACTTCTCATGATTTCCACTCTTGCGCTCCTCGTCAAGATCCCTCACAACAGGCAAGGCAGTCGAAGGCGTAACGACCCACAATAAATGCCCAAGCTTTTCCCAGCAAGCCGGCTCGAACAATTGATTAAGATACCTGCGTATTTGGTTTCGAACCTTCTTCCTTTCCAAGAAGTAAGGACAAAGAATCGTAATGTCTTTTGGAATCTCCTCGATACCCCCACTCATTCGGACCGCATAATCCGGAATCGTTTCCGCAGATGCTATTCCATCCCAGTCAGTACCACCCTTTCTCCCTCAAAAAGATATAAGAAAACTCACGATCAATCTGCCCCTCAAAAACCTTCAGCGCATACCAAACAATCCCACAAAACTTCCTCAACTCCCACTTCCTCTTCTCACTACTCCATTTATTCATCACCACAACCTCTCCCTTCCCCCA